GCCTTCTTAAAGTCTAGAAAGACTACGTCCACAGCAACACCATCATCCAAGGATTTAGTCACCTGGTCATAAAAGGCAACCAGGTTCTTCAGGCAGGACCTGCCTTTGATGTACCCATGCTGATTGCCCCTGAGCATGACCTGCCCTGCTGGCCCCCCACAGATGTGCTCCTTGATGATTCTCTCCAAGATCTTCCTAAGCACCACGGTGAGGCTTATGGGCCTATAGTTACTTGGGTCCTCCCTCCTCCCTTTCTTGAAAATTGGGACCACATTAGCCAGTTTCCAATCCCCCGGCACCTGGCCAGATGACCATGAATGGTCATACAGCCGGGCCAAGGGCTCCACAATGACCCCTGACAGCTCCCTCAACACCCTTGGGTGGAGGGCATCTGGACCTGCAGATTTAAAAATGTCTAGCCCTTCCAGAAGATCCCTAACTACATCTGTACTGACTGAAGGCCTGCCAGAGCTATCCCCAAGACTGTCCCTACCTCTGGTAGGTGGGATATCCCAGTCCCTGTTCAAGAAAACGGAGGCAAAGAAACTGTTAAAAATATCAGCTTTCTTGTCTGGCGGAGCCACAAGATTACCGTTTGCGTCTTGCAGGGGCCCTCATTGCCTGGTGCCCTCTTCTTGCTCCAAATGTACTTGAAAAAGGACTTTTTGTTGTCCTTAATCCTGGATGCTAGCCTAAGTTCCATCTCTGCCTTGGCCTTCCTAATAGCCCTCCTACACCCATGGGCTGAGGAGGAGTACTCCTCCTTGGTGATAGCTCCTCCCTTCCGCTGGTTGTATGCCCCCCTTTTAGTCCTCAGGCACTGCTGAATGCCCTTGCTGAGCCAAGGGGGTTTCTGAGCACTCTTACCCCCCTTGGTTCTCTCAGGAACTGTTACCCTTTGGGCCTGGAGGATCATCCCCATAAGCTATGATCATCCCTCGTGGACTCCCATCTCCTCTACCTTCTGGGCCCCCAACTAGTCTCCTTAGCTCATTGAAATTGACCTTTCTGAAGTCAAGGGCTTTAGCCTTGGTGTGAGCCCTTGACGCCCTGCTTTGGATAGTAAAATGCAGCAGGTGATGATCACTATTGCCCAGGTGGTCAAGGACCTGCAGTCCCCTCACCAGGTCATCTGCCATGGCCAGGACCAGGTCCACCAAACATTCTTCTGTCAAATTTGTTTGGCCCCATTAGTCCATCAATAGAGGTGCACCGATAGAGATTTTTGGGGCTGATAGCTGATTTTTAAAGGAGGCATATCAGCTGATATTGATCTGATTTCTGACAGCAGCCCAGCAGCTAGTAAGCCTGGTGTGGTGAAAGGGGGGATGGGGGGAAGGGAAGATCAAGGCCCCCATGGTGAGGGAGGAGTAGGGCTGGGGCAAGAGCTGCCCAGCTGGGGCAGGGCGGGTGCATCTGGGGGGTGCAGGGGACGGCTCCTGCTGCTGCTTGTCCAGGATATGCTCATTTGGTGTTTCCTTCTGCTTGCCTGGAAGGGCACTGGGGGAGGGGTGGGAGAGAGGAAGAGCAGATCTGTGCAGGGTGGGACAGGGCAGGCTGAGCTTGGGGCGAGCAGCAGGATGAGGGGTAAGGTGGAGACTATGGCAAATTTTGGGGTGGCTGCAGCCCCCCCACCATCTTCCTGCCCCCACCTTCCCAGAGCTACTACCTCTTGCTCACAGCCCAGGCCCATCCTGCTGGGAGGAGCTTGGCACAGCCCCAGCCCCCCCAGCCCCACATAGATCCAGGAGCACACTCTCCCTGACCCCCAGTGCCCTCCCAAACGAGCAGCAGGAGCAATGACAGGGGCTGCTGGACAAGTGGATGAGCACTAGACAAGCTGCCCCTGGATGAATGGCACACAGAGGCAGGAGCCACCCCCACTCCCCAGATGAGCCCAGGCTCCATCCCGCACCTGTCCCGCCCCAGCTGGCCAGCACTTGTCCCAGCCCCTGCCCCAGCCCCAACCCTGCCTTACCGTGGAGGCCTTGATCTGCCCCTGCCCCATGCCCCTCTTCCCTTCCCCCTCCACCACACCACTTACCAGCTGCACACAGGTCTCAAGCTGCTGGGCTGTGCTTCTTACCACCTACGTGCTGCATGCACAGGCCATTTATCAGCCAAATTATTGGCCATATCAGGCCAATTTCTGATACAGACAGAATTTCTTTATATCAGTGCCGATCCACTATTGGACCGATGTACTGGTGTACCTCTATCCATCTACCAATGACAACTGTCTAACGGGCTCAAAAAAAAAAGTGGGGAACACACTCAGATAAACATCATACAAGAAAGTGAATGGATCCAGAATCCATTCATATCAACAGAATTATTGTAATCATCTGGAACAGGGCTAACCTAACACAAAGTAGGGCTGGGGACAGTCAGAGGGACAAGGGAATACAAGAATATTCTATCCATTTCCTTTTCTCCCTTCCTACCTTTTTCTTCATCTCTTATTACAACTCCCTCTCCCCTCCAATATGAATAACTTAAATCTGTGTTTTTCCTAAATGCATCTTAATGTAGAGGGAAGGTTCGTGCATTTCAGTGATGTTCAAAATTATGTCAGTAGGAGTTTTAAACTGTGGTAGGGTCCCCAAGCAGAAAAAGCCAAATGGAAGACCAGATGACAAGCTGCCTACTGGCCCTCAGTTGGGAGTTAAGCAAAAAGCACGTTGAGTTGAATGGAGCAAAGCAGCCATTCTGGCAGACAGCATGATTGATAGAGATGCTGAAGACTTATTTGTGCCTGATGGCATGGGAAGGATTAAGATTCTCAACATGTTTATTAAACTGTCCTTTAGCTTTTAATGACACATGCATGCCCCCCCCACACACACATTCAGTGTTAAGAAAACAAAGAACAAGAAGAATTGCAAAGTGTACAGTTACACTAAAAATGTGTAAATAAAGTTGAATACTATACCTGTGCACCCGAGTCTTGAAATTCTTTGCAAGCTTCTGGGAATACATCATATGCAATAACAGGATATCCATGTTTTACCAGGTTTTTGGCCATTGGATTTCCCATGTTACCCAGCCCAATGAATCCAACGGGGGTTTTGGAGGCCATTGCCCTAGAACACACTGATTTCAACACAATTTCAATACATGAATATCTTGGAGAAATGCACCACAAACATAAAAAAACCAACAACATAGTTTTAAGTGTTATAATTTACACAATAAACTATCACCACATTTTCTGAGATTTACTTGTGGGCACATAGTGACATGCACCTAGCTTTTGGGAAGGCAGAATGATGGTGGGGGGGAGAGATTTTTCCAGACTGTACAGTGCAGGAAGAGAGCCTAATCTTCAGCTCACTCACGCTCCCCTTCCTAATCAGGTAAAAGCTGAAGACTGGACAACACAGGAAGATCTAGGATTTTTAAGAGCTAAAAAATAGACGTAGGACTATGAAATAGGAGAAAGAGCAGGAGTAGCTAACAGACGGCAATAATGCTGAACAAAGGATGGCTTACTAGTGCAGCATCAAGATTATTAAAGAGGAAATGGGATCATTAACACCTGCAGAGTGAAGAGCAATTAGCAGGAATTAGGAAGGTTATAATGAGGCATGAAGTCAGTTGACTCCGTCAGCACTACAGGGATAGAAATGCCTCTGCTGCTGGACGCAAATCATTTTAAACTTTTGAGTGACGCAGAAATCAGATCCCCCCCAGATCCGCCCCAACTGTACCCCCCCTTCACTTCCATGCAGCTGCTGGAGGGTGGAGAAGGAAAAGGAGGAGTAACAGTCATCTTATAGCATCTCCATGCTTCTATTCTGTATTCAGCACTATTTTAATTATTGTGGCCAGAAACAAGTCAGCTTTCTGGTTAAGACAGGCACCCCAATTTGGGAAGGCTAAACTTTGGACAAAAGGTAAGTTTGGCATGCAAGTAAATATTGTACTTATCAAGAGCATCACAGTGTGATCATACCAAGAAACTGTACTGAATTTAGAAAGCTAGGGACAGTTTGGAAAAAAATGAATATGCAAGTGAAATAATACCCAATTAACCAGGGCCTTGGGACTATGGGAGAATCAGTCAGGAAATATATAAAAGCACAGGCAACATCTGTGAAAGTTTCTTTTCATTTTGTTACAGTCTCCTCTGCACAAAATGACATGGACAAGAAGCAAGTTCAGATTCCTTGCATATTTCATTCTGTGGCTCTAGGCAGAGCCAGATGACTGTGGCTGTGGCTTTGGGATACAGCAACCAGCCTCTAGAATTCAAACTGAAGGTACCGATTCATTTCATACAAGCCTAACCATTACCAAGTAATACCTAGTCACAAATAACCCTGACCAGATTTAAAATCAATAATCTAAAGGCAAAAATTTTCATGATATTACCAATGTCAAGAGGCATTTAATCCTTTTTATTGCTGCTTGAAAGTTGCCCTTAAGCATTATTTGAGCATTCATGTCACCAGAACAATGACTAACAATTAGAAAATGATGCAGTCTTCAGAACAAAGCATACAGAAAAACATGACAGAATAGTACACCATGATGTTAGGAACTAATATAGTATTCTATGGTGATTTATGGTATATATGGGAGACATTGTAATTTTAGCATGTATTATTAGTCCTACCTACCTATCAAGTACAAATAGAGAGAAACAGGCAATATATAATCCATAAAAATCCCCTTCCTCATCATTCTGACCTGAAATAATCTTACCTCAAGGCTAGGACAAATGCTATTTTTTGTTCTTGCTACCAGTTACAGAAGACATTTCTTCTTTGAAAGCAAAAGAAGCTGATCAGGATAAAGGGACAACCAAGCAAACAGGGATGAAGATAAGAAAACGATAAATTAACCAGACTCTAGAGTAGATTTTAGAGTACTCCATGTTTAGGTTTTAAGAAATCTCAATACTTAGACAGACTCCCCAGTAGACGGGTACTTGATTAATTATTTTAAAGTATTTCTGATTCTAAGATCCTTCTCAGCCAACAAAAGCGACACCAGATTGTAAATATCATGCTTACTAAGTAGGTGTTTTGAGAGGACTTCAGTTTAATCCCCAATTTCCATAGCTACCTATACAAAGAAAAGCTGCACTGTAATTAAAAATAAAATGTACCCCAATAGGTATATCTCCTATTATAGTAAAGCAGCAAAATGCTATAAAAAGTTCTAACAGATAGACAACTGCATTTTTCTTTTTTAAAATCTTGTCATTCCCATGACGGCATCCTCCTCGCTCACCTCCTTCCTCAGTACCTCAGTGTCTCCTTTCCAACTTTCCATGGGATTCAGTTCTTGTTCCCATTCTCTTCACAACTATCTGTGAATAGTCTCATCTGCAAACACAAATCTAACTACCATTATCTCTGTGTTGATAACTCATAAATCTATTCCAGCCTTGTCTTTGTTTATCCAAATTAAAATTCGGGCCCATCTCTGACATCTGCTAGTGATACCCATTAGCTCAGATTCAGCTCAATTAATACAGAAATCTTCCCATCACTCTGGTGCTCATATCCAGGCTATGTCTAATTCTTGCCAATTCTTTCTGTATAATATATCAGATATGGCCTTTCCCATGAGGATACACTCACACTGTGTTTCTATCACTGCAACAGCCTTCTATCCTGCATTCCCAGGTGCAATTTTGCCTCATTCACATCTATTGCCGAAGACCATTTTCCCCAATCTATCTCGTTGGCCAGGTTGTCAGCCTTGTCCTAGAATCCCTCTACTGCTTTCCCTTGCATTCTGCATTATATAAAAGCTACTTGTCTTCACATCCTCATCCCCCCCCTTCTAAGCTATTATATCTTTTAGTTTTAATTTAGTTACAAAAACACATTGAATTCAACTCAATTATATCATAGCCTTGAAATGAAGCTTTTGCCTATGCATCATTGACATGCTAGGTATATTAGGAAAGTCTGTGAACTTCTGACCTTGCTTTTGTAAAAAAAGGCACTGAAATATTCACTACTTTACAGTACCCATTATCAAAACTCCTGTGAAATTGTAAAAAATAGAATTCGTTTAAAAGCAGATTATTTTTTACCACTTATTACTGGTATTTTATACTACTTTAAATAAAGTAGCCTTGCAATCCTTCAACTCAAAGGCCCCGATCCTGCAACTGGGTCTGCCGAGTTGGACCCTCAAATTCAGTGCACAAATATGATTGTAGGATCAAAGTTCTAGTTAAGAAGTAAAAACCTTAAAGGAATATCCTAGCAAGAATCTCATCATGACAACAGAGAAGCTGGAATTATTTTAGTTGCTGGGCATGAAAATGTCACAGAATAAGCCAAATTAGTTCATGTTCTACCTAGGCACAATTTCATTATTACAATCAGTACTACTGCATCTGAGCTCACAACAGGAATTTTGGACCTGTAAAATATAAATGCACTTCAAAACAGACTCTAAACACAATTTCCATGTACAGTGGTGATGCATAGGGTATGCACAGGGGTGCATGTGCACCCCCTGACTGTCTGCACTTGCTGCTTAGGCAATGGGGGGGGGGGGGGGCCGGGGGGGGGGGGGGGCAGCAGGGGGGGGGGGGGGCAGCAGGGGGGGGGGGGGGCAGCAGGGGGGGGGGGGGGCAGCAGGGGGGGGGGGGGGCAGCAGGGGGGGGGGGGGGCAGCAGGGGGGGGGGGGGGCAGCAGGGGGGGGGGGGGGCAGCAGGGGGGGGGGGGGGCAGCAGGGGGGGGGGGGGGCAGCAGGGGGGGGGGGGGGCAGCAGGGGGGGGGGGGGGCAGCAGGGGGGGGGGGGGGCAGCAGGGGGGGGGGGGGGCAGCAGGGGGGGGGGGGGGCAGCAGGGGGGGGGGGGGGCGCAGGTGGGAGTGCCAGTTTCCCGCCTGCAAGTGCTGGCTGATTGCTGAAGCCGCTCCCAGAAGCGGCCGCAGCTACTCCCGGAAGCGGCCACAGCAATCGGCCGTTGCAGGATTGGCCATGGGGGTACCCCCCAGACAGCGAGATTGGCCATGGGGGACGCCCCAGTTGGCAGAACTTATCACTGGAGGGGAGGGGGGGGAAACATGCTCTCCCTGACTGAGATGGCACCAGTCACCCATGTATTCATGACTGGATGACTCCAAGGTGTCTCAGCTGGCTCTATTAAATTTTGGAAAGGCTAGTTTTGAGTGTCTACCTAAAATGGACACCTGGGATATTACTACAAGGATACTTAAATTCCTTATAATTTCCAAAAGACAAATGCACTGCATTGAATGAGCACTTTAAAACATGGCAAGGCTTCAAACATGTTTTGATTCACTTTTTACCTGGAGACAGTCTATGCCAGCAACTTTCAACCATTTAAAAGCAGGTTCTCTTGTATATTTTGATAATTTAATTATTAAAATAATACACCTTGATTTGTTTAACTGCTAGTGTAGTATCCCAAGATGATGAGGGTAAAAAGCTCCACTGCAATAATGTTGAATACATCCAATTCCTAATGCTTTCAAATGTGTTCTAATTAACAAATACCAGTAAAATGCTTTTGGTATTACTGCAGTAGCTAAGACCCCTCGGTGCTAGTTGCTGTACAAACAGAACAAAAAGATTGCCCTCTCTCAGAAAAACTTGAGACAAGAGGCTACAGATGGATACAGATAGGGAAACACAAAGATACAATGACACAATATTGATATTATTAGTCAACTTGATATCAATGGTCTGAGGACTGAACTGTACTGAAGGAGTATCCTCTGTGGCTTTAGGCAAGTCATTCTGGGGTATATCCACAAAGGCACTGGGTTCCTGTACTAGAATCAACAGTCACCCAAACATGTTTTAACTGGAAGGGTTGAATGCCTCAGAAATGTCCGCAGGCATGCCCTACTGGCCCGCTTCTACTTGTACATGCTAAACCTAGAAACATGTCAATGAAGCTCTTCTAGGGGCACATCCAGAACCATTATCAAGCATACCAAACACAGTAAGGGGATGGACCCCAGAGCAGATTCACCAAAACATTTCCAGGTTTGTTATGGTATGGGTGTCCAAGGGTTGCCCTTGAGCATGCCTGCCAGGGAATGAAAAATAGACACAACATGTCATTCTTTTACAAAAAGCTGGATCAGGAGTTGCTTCAAAAATGTAAACACAAGTGGGGAAAAGGGGTGAAGCTGGGGCCATTTAAACATAAAAGACAAACAGTCTGTCACAGACCTGTGTGCAGAGTACCCCCAAAGCCCCAGTGCTCTTTCTACAAAGCCGCCCACTAGAATTTACTCAACTGACTGAATGAACAGACCCCAGAATAATCATACAAAGCAAGTGACATGGGCATAGTCTACCAGTTGCATGTGGCAATTCAACAAGCCACTAGGGAACTCTCTGCAAGTAGGTGAAGGAGGTTAACTGGTTGATGGAGTTGCCAGATCTCAGAAATTACTCCATCAGTTGTTTCACTAGTAGGTATTTCAGTCAAATGATGGACATTACAAGCAGTTGCCTAAATCTGAGTTAGAATTAAAGGAAAAGATGCCAAGACTAATATTTATACAAAGAGAGAGAATGTGCATGTGTGATTTGTTTGTGCGCACACATAAAGTATGTGCCTTTGACAGAGAGCATAAATTCTGTTGGGTGTCAACCCTACAAACACTTCTCAAAGTCACTGGGATGTGGTATTAAGTACATGCATAAGCATTTGTGAGATTAGTGCTTAATCAAGTAGGGTGAAATCCTGTTCTCATACGAGAACAATGGAAAATGTTATCATTTACTTTAAGGGAATAAGGATCTGAACCTATAGTCTCTGACTCTTAGGTATTAAAGCAAATAGATTTGTCAGCCTTAAACCTTGAAGTAGTGTTTGGCAGCTCCCCCCCTTTTAGAAAACCATATTTCTTTGAATTTATTATAGTAATAATTTCAAGTGATCTAATTTCCAGATCATCTCCTCCCCACACTCATTCACCACTTTCAAGCCGTCACGTTTAAAATAGTGAACAAAATAACACAGCTACTTCAAAGTTGTTTTTTACTGAAATATTTGTGAACCATCTGTGACAGCGATACTTACTGCACATGCTACTGCAGTATCAGAACAGGTACTATATATACACATATCGTTTTTAAATTTAACTTCATTAGCTTATGAAAAAGCTTATGCTGTTCTGTATTCTACCTGAAAAACTAAACACTTCGTAAAAGTCACACTTAGTCCTTTAAAATATTTCATAGTTGTGTGTCAGTGGAAGAGAACAGGCTAGTTAAAAATACTGTTAAAAAATCATTTTAAAATGAAATAAAGGAGTCAAGACATTTGTTTTCATTGTCTGGGAAATCAAGTTAAAAGGGTATGTTCAGCTCTTTAAAAAGAAGTCAGCTTATTTAAGGCTAAAATAAACTGAATTTACTCTACGCTTTTCCAGAGTCTTCATGTCAAATTACACACACACACGCATGCACGCACGCAGGGGAACAAAACAAACAAACAGAAAACCCCTAATACTCAAAAGAAAGCTAATATATTTGTTCCAATCTATTTCTGTTGTAGAAGTCTTAAGCATTACTTATTACTATAGGCAAAAACAACTTCAAAAGCCAGTATTATTTTTAAATGCCACATCCCTTTAAAGGGAAAGACAAGAGACAGGGGAAAGGCTGTAAACGTGAGTTCCAGGCCTGCAAATACATATGCCTAGCTAGAAACACACATATTCCAACCAACTGCAGAAACAGGACTATTTCCACGTGCAGTGTGAAGCATGTGTATGCGTGTCTGCAGGAACAAGAGAAGGGGTTTTGTTTCAGCTTTGACTAATACACACACACACACACACACACACACAAGCAATATAAACATTGATTACACTATGAATTATGGAGTGTTTTACGCCACTAGCTCCACATAAACATCTGTGGTCTGCTTTAAACCTCTACATATACTATTTTAAGCAAACATGTTAAAGCATTTACTATGCTAAGCTACTTTCAGGCAGATATAAGTATTGATATGAGCCTTGTACAATTTTACAACCCGCATAGTTTTATTAGTGGGTGCAAGGGAAGTGATAATCCTTTCCTAGTCCGAAGCACATCTGTCAGGGTTTTAATAAGCCAACACCAGTTTCATCTGAGGAACTATGAACTTATTAGGGGCAGGCAGGCAGCCCTTCAAGCAAGCTGATGCAGATCATACAGTCATGAAGTCAAGTAGGCAGGTCCTGTGCATGGGAGTCCCTGTGCGGGGAGGGGGGTGGGGGTGCTGTCACTGCTCTGACAAGCCACTGAGCCTGGGGGGAGGGGCTGCTGGAAGTGTTGGGGAGCAGCAGCACTTTTGGGGCTGGTTTAAGAGAGAGGCCTGGCTTTTGCAATGCGCTGTGACCGTGCACAGCTCAAATGTCATGCCCCCAAAATCCACCCCCCCCCCGGCCGGGAGACAGCCGCGTCCTTACCCAGTGCGAGGCTGGCAGCGTGCACAGTCCTGGGCTTGCAGAACAAGCTGGCGGATCCGCGGAGCATTAAGGCTGCTGCCATGCTCCTTCCCCCCCGCTCCACTCGTGTGACCTCCACCTGCACACCACTGTTCCTCCTCTACGCGAGCCCCTCGCGCCGCGCTCGCAGCCAGGCAGGAGAAGGAGCGCGGGAGAGTGGCAGCCGGCAAAGCCAACCACAGCCTAGCCCTGGCAGCTCCAGACCAATGAGAGGAGACATCCTCCAGCCCATGACCTGCTGGATCTGCCCCCAGCCCCGTGACACGCGGCGATATGTCTGCTTTCCTCCCGCCGCCGCGAAAGCAGGGGGAGTGCGGGAGAAGTGCGGGTGGGGTCGCGGCTTCACCCCTGGGTGCTCAGCTGAAGCAGGATTTCCTCTAGAACTCCTCGGCACCCTGCTCTCTCTGGGCCACCATTTCCCAGGGAAGCCGCCCTGCCAGCTCATCGGGGGCCTTCCTCAGCTCTCCTTTGCCCTCCAGGCGACCAGTCTCAAGCCTTCCCCGTAGCATCTGCTCTGCCTTTGGTACATGGGGCTCCCACCAGAGGGGAACAGTCCCTGCTGCCCTTTTGCCGCTTAAAAGATGGGTTGTCTGCTCCAGCCAGCTATCTCCGCTAGTCACTGTGTGCACCTAATAATTAATGACACAAAAAAGGGGGAAAGCTAGGGCTGCCAACTCTGTTTCAATCTATTCCAGGAGGTTTCTGGAAAGCCAGCATGCCCATGACACAATGTGGATGTGCCCATGTGCTTGAATATATCCTACAGACTATGGTGTGTAGATTTTACATCAGGAAGTAAATACACATGACTATTACATTTTAAAATCCGACTGGAGTACTGTATAAATTGGGTTAAACATTTAATAGTCATGGGGAGCTCCTTTTTCAGTATAAGGTTTAATTTATGTGAATAAAGAAGAATCCGTTTACTCCTCCTGCACTCAGGTTGGGAATAGAGAGCCAGTTTGGATTGCATCTGAGTTTCAATTATAAACTAATCTTTGCATCATCTCTACCAAAGAGGGGGTTGAGGATTGGGGTATAGTTTGTGCCAAATGCTTCAAATGATTCAGATTAGGGATCTGTAACAGGGAACCCTAGCCCTGTTACTAAGAGACAGAGTGGTCCCTTTAAATCCAGAACCTTCCAGTCACGGCTGGCTGGCCAGGTAGGGGTTAAGGCTCAAGCCCTGGCAGCCAGTCAGGTGACAGGAAGAGGAAGGCCCAGACCCGACAAATGGCAAGTGGAGAAGGCCAGAGGGGCATTCTCAATGACCATGGTGTTGTGGCTACAGTCTCTGTTGGAAGACTATACCATTCTGTAAGCCATCTGCATGATCATCTAAAGTAAGCAGGAATGTTGCCTCTCTTGTTTCTGTATTATCACTTTTCCATTAGATGGCCATAGAAGCCTATGTTTTGTGTTGGATGTTAAGACCAGTGGTTTGGGTGAGGCTATTTGGGGAAGGAAGAGGCCTCATTGGGGGCCCAGTGCTAGAGGGGGTGCAGTATTTGGGGGTGAGCAGACCCCAGTGCCACAGAGGGTGCAGGAGCCTGAGTGAGGTTTTTTTGTTTTTGTTTTTTTGTTTGAGAGCTAGAGCCTGGAAGTGAAACCCTGATTAGTGTGT